ACCACCACGGTTAATGGTGAAAGGAGAACTAAATGGTTCAAGGCAGCTTGGTAGAGTTCTGATTGGCGTACGTTGGCGACCAGAGTGAGAACATCATTAGCAATATGTCGATCCACTGCATGCGCAGGAATATGATTAAGAGCAAGATCTGGATGTGTCTCCACAAAAGTTATTGCTGGATGGTTGCCGTTGGTGAAAATTTCCCGCAGATCCTTGTCACATCCGTATCCCAAAATTCTGATGAAATCCTAACGTATTATTCAAGAAAGAAAGAGCAATGCAGTTAATAATGGGCTAAGTGAAAAGGATGCAAATGGGCCAAGGAAGAGGAGTGAGTAAAAATCCATGGAATTGTGTGAATGTATCGAACATAGCCCATAAGCCCATAGGTTGGGTAACCTTTTATTATTGATCTAATATTAAGTTGTGAACCCAACCACTTTATCGTGAAAGAGATTTATTTAGTGATTGTTCTTTTTATTATATGATATATTTTATATTTTCAAATTCTTAAACTACATATACTGTAATTCACCTTTGGACAAAATTTGTACATGACCTTTTTGGTGTTTGATTCTTTTTAACCGTCTAAAACAAGAAATTTTGTTTAAAATACCTCATCCAATGTCATGCATAATTGAATACCTATTCTATTTCTATAGACTTATTCATTTAAGTTTGTTGTTGTCTATCATTCCTAATAAATACTGGTAAAAACTATTTCTTAGAGGATAATGCATAATTAATCTTGATAGCATTCACATCCTCGTTGATCCTAAAATCTACTAACACAACACCAAGAAAATCATGAAAACTAATATCCTCACTAATGATACTAAGAGAGCCTCTCCTTTTAGCATGAAACATGAATTCTCAATGAGTGTTATCCATCAACTTTCACACTTCACTTATAGAATACAAATAAACGAATTAATGATATGCCAAAATTTGTAAACTGAAATTGTGACAACGAATGAATCGATAAATCTGACCAAAACAAGATCTAATTTGAATTTGTAGAAAACAACGATAGTTCAATGACCCAAACGAATTCAGAATTCCAAACAGATCTCTCGATTCTCTATAACATGTGACCCAAATTCGGAGCATATTTTACACACCTAAGCGAGATAGATAAACAATAGCAAAGTTTAAAGTTTAAATCAGTGTTCTAGAAATCGGTTGGATGTTAAATAAATTTACTTAAAAATAGAAGAAAACAAAAAATCTAGGTCCAATTATTGTACTCCCTTCGTTCCATG